CTGGTTGCACACAGTGCTGATGAATCTCAGTATGGAGCCACTACTTGGAATGCCTCTAATCTGACCCAGAAAAACAAAACTTACCATGCCGAGCATCCCAAAGGGCGAAACAGCTCCTGCCTGCCAGGAGAACAGAAAAGCAGAACAGAAAATGACTTTGCAACAGCCAAACACTAGATCCTCATCAGAACACACTAATCCTTCTCAGAAACAGAACTGGGAACACTCAGGCTCTACAAACAGATCAAGAAAGCACCCCATGGATTCCTGGGAGTTCAAGCCATATCACCCCTGATGAACCAGACATGAGGTAATGCTCCTAAATTTCTCCCCATTATATGAATTCACATCCTTGAGAAACAACACATATTTATTCCTTTCCTCCCGTCCAACCTAGAATACTGTTGCATTCAACACCTTAATACAGGTGGAATAAAGAGAAGGACCAGAACACCGCTGCCTAAGAGATTTATTCTGCACCTGTGTGGAAGACAGGGGGGTGCCCAAGCCAGGAGGGCTGGGAGACAGAAAGTGACAGATCAGTTTGGGAAATTCTAGCCTGTACTCAGCCGGTGTTACCTGCATCCTGCGGCCAGCCTGGCGAGCCCCAGGTGTGGTGCCATCCGTGATGCCGAGGAGCGGCCCGAACCCGAAACTCCCAGACAGCATGCGGTTCATGTGCTGCCGGTGGATGGCAAAAGGATCCCTTTTGGAGAGGTGGAGAGAACAATGGTGAGGACAAAGCCCCATATAATCCGCTCCTCCCAGCTCTGTGTTTTTCTTACACAACTGTACATTCCTTCCCAAGCTGGAAATTCAGAATCCCGAGAAGTCTGTGTTGTCTATGGTGATTACTGGGGCTGGAAGGGATCTCTGTATCCCATCACATTTCTGGTGATAGAAGGTTTCATACCACAGAAACCCTCTGAGGTACTAATTTCTGTCTGCTCAGAAGCAAGTTGGTGTTTTGCTTCAGTACTGCTCTGGAGCCAAGTGTGGCCAAGGCCACTCCAGAACCTCAATGCTCCAACATCTTTTATAGGGAGGTGCATGAAGACCTTCCTGGCTGCAAAGTGAGGGCTACACTTAATGGCACCAGAGAGCAGGAGATCCCACACATCATCCTCTCACCCCTCCACGTACACAGACACAAACAGTGAAATGCAAGACTGGAACCTCCAGAATGGACTGCACAGCCTGGCACCCCTCTGCCCCCCAGGGCTTGAGACCACATACAGCTTTTCCAGATTTGAGGGAGAAAGGGAACAATAACTGGGATCCCTAACTGATTTCCCCTTCTCTTGCAGCCTCCACTTTGAGGGCTGCATGCACTCACACAGGTTGGTGAAGCAAGAGGAAGAAAAGGAGGGTAAGGATAAAGAGTCACAGAACAGGGTGGCCACAATAAGACACTACTGGGAAATACCATAGCTTTTTTCCTGCAGATCTTGTAGCCTGCAATTATCCCTCTTGAGTTTTAATGACCTCTATAGCACAGATTATTCCTGAGATGACAGAAGCACCCACTACTTAAATACTTAAAACCAATACTTTTCTGTCTCTACTGGAAATGCTTCCCATAATAAAAGCTAGACTCATACCTGCCATGTTAATGAGAACACACTGTCATTCGGTGACTAACTGGGACATCAAGGTCTCCTCTCCTGCTAATTTGCTCACAGCTGATAAAATTCTTGCTTACTATTGATTTCATAAGCAAAAAATTAACTATTCTTCTACATACATAAATGTCACCAAATTTCTAGTAATGTCTTGTTTACCATAATCAAATTCTTCCTGTATTACAGTCTATTCCTTATCCACTTTGGCAAAGGCTGCCAACTTAGTGTCACTGCCAAAATTTATCAATAGCATCCAATTTCTGCACTGAGGATGGAAACAAAAACATTCAGTGAAAGGAATCCCAGGAAGAGTTCTGGGGAGCTTTGTCAGATTTCAATACTCGTGTTTCAAAACCACTCGTTGTTTTGCCTTTACTTTGTTCCTCACAACTTGACAACTGCTTCAGCAGCCTTCTCCAGCTCCATTAATGACTTCCTGTGCAGAACAGCAACAAACACTGGACAGAGCAGCAGATTTTATCTATCTCAACTGCAACCCTAGTTTGCATAATGAAACAAAAAAAAAATCCTTGCGCAAAGAAAAAGATTAGTTATTATTGCAGCCCTTTCTTCCTCTCAAGACAGCTGCGATGCCTTTCGGCCTACTTTGTTACGCTTTCCTCCAAGACCCCGCTGCCATACCGCAGAAGCGAGTGGGACGCGATCGCTGTTGCTCGGCGCGCTGCCCCTCCGGAGGATGTCAGCGTCCGTCCCCGGAGAGCTGCGCTGCGGCGGCGGCGCTCCGGCCCGGCCCGGCCCGCCCGGCGGGACGCGGGGCAGCGCGCACCGCCCCGGGGGCGCTCCGTGCCGCAGCCCGGCCGCCGACCCACCCCGCGGGCTGCCCACCCCGACTCACATGGCAAACATGGGGTCCTCCGGCTCGCCATCCCTCATCAGCCGGAACATGCTTCCCTCGCTCGGGGGCGGCCTCTGCGGAGCGGAGAGGGCGGTGAGCGCAGCCGGGGCGGAGGGCGGGAGGGGCGGAGCGCCGGAACCGCCCCCCCCGCCCCGCCCCACCCCGCCCCGACGCCAGCAGGGGCGGGTGATTGCAGCGCTCCCCCTCCGGGCCCGGCCCACCCGCCGCGCCCCTGCCCCGCCGTGCCTGCCGGTGTCGGCGGTCCCGGTTCGGCGCTGCCCGAGCCCCCGGGCCGCTCACGCCTCCGCGCCCATCGCGCCCCGCACCGCGCTGCCTCCGCCCCGCCCGCACCGCGCATGCGCGCCCGCCCCGGGGGAGGGAACAGGCGAGGCGGGGCCGCGCGGAACAGCGCCCCCTGGCGCCCCCCGCGGGCGGCGCCCCCGGCCCGCAGCTCCCGCCGGGCATGGGAGTGGGAGTGGGAGTGGGAATGGGAGTGGGAATGGTAATGGGAGTGGGAGTGGGAGTGGGAATGGGAGTGGGAATGGTAATGGGAGTGGGAGTGGGAGTGGGAATGGTAATGGGAGTGGGAGTGGGAGTGGGAATGGGAACGGTAATGGGAGTGGGAATGGGAGTGGGAGTGGGAATGGGAGTGGGAATGGTAATGGGAATGGGAGTGGGAATGGGAGTGGGAATGGGAATGGGAGTGGGAATGGGAGTGGGAGTGGGAATGGGAGTGGGAATGGGAATGGGAGTGGGAATGGGAGTGGGAGTGGGAATGGGAGTGGGAATGGTAATGGGAATGGGAGTGGGAATGGGAGTGGGAATGGGAGTGGGAATGGTAATGGGAATGGGAGTGGGAGTGGGAAGGGGACTGGGAGTGGGAATGAGAGTGGGAATGGAATAGGAGTGGGAATGGGAATGGGAGTGGGAATGGTAAAGAGAGTGGGAGTGGGAATGGGAATGGGAATAGGAATGGGAGTGGGAATGGGAATGGAGTGGGAATGGGAATGGGAGTGGGAGTGAGAATGGGAGTGGGGGTGGGAATGAGAGTGGGAATGGGAATGGGAATGGGAGTGGGAATGGGAGTGGGAATGGGAGTTGGAGTGGGAATGGTAATGGGAGTGGGAGTGGGAGTGGGAGTGGGAGTGGGAATGGGAGTGGGAATGGGAGTTGGAATGGGAGTGGGAATGGGAATGGGAATGGGAGTGGGAATGGGAGTGGGAATGGGAGTGGGAGTGGGAATGGGAATGGGAGTGGGAATGGGAGTGGGAGTGGGAGTGGGAATGGTAAAGGGAGTGGGAGTGGGAATGGGAGTGGGAGTGGGAATGGGAGTGGGAATGGGAGTGGGAAGGGGACTGGGAGTGGGAATGAGAGTGGGAATGGAATGGGAGTGGGAATGGGAATGGGAGTGGGAATGGGAGTGGGAATGGGAGTGGGAATGGGAGTGGGAATGGGAGTGGGAGGGGGAATGGGAATGGGAGTGGGAATGGAATAGGAGTGGGAGTGGGAATGGGAATGGGAGTGGGAATGGTAAAGGGAGTGGGAGTGGGAATGGGAGTGGGAATGGGAGTGGGAATGGGAATGGGAGTGGGAATGGGGGTGGGACTGGGAATGGGAGTGCGAATGGGAGTGGGAATGGGAATGGGAGTGGGAGTGGGGGTGGGAATGAGAGTGGGAGTGGGAATGGGAGTGGGAATGGGAGTGGGACTGGGAGTGGGAGTGGGAATGGGAATGGGAATGGGAATGGGAATGGGAATGGGAATGGGAGTGGGAATGGGAGTGGGAATGGGAGTGGGAGTGGGAGGGGGAATGGGAATGGGAGTGGGAGTGGGAGTGGGAGTGGGAGTGGGAATGAGAGTGGGAATGGAATAGGAGTGGGAGTGGGAATGGGAATGGGAGTGGGAATGGTAAAGGGAGTGGGAGTGGGAATGGGAGTGGGAGTGGGAGTGGGAATGGGAGTGGGAATGGGAGGGGGAATGGGAATGGGAGTGGGAGTGGGAATGGGAGTGGGAATGGGAATGGGACTGGGAATGGGGGTAGGACTGGGAATGGGAGTGGGAATGGGAGTGGGAATGGGAATGGGAGTGGGAATGGGAGTGGGAATGGGAGTGGGAGTGGGAGGGGGAATGGGAATGGGAGTGGGAGTGGGAGTGGGAGTGGGAATGAGAGTGGGAATGGAATAGGAGTGGGAGTGGGAATGGGAATGGGAGTGGGAATGGTAAAGGGAGTGGGAATGGGAGTGGGAGTGGGAGTGGGAATGGGAGTGGGAATGGGAGGGGGAATGGGAATGGGAGTGGGAGTGGGAATGGGAGTGGGAATGGGAATGGGAGTGGGAATGGGGGTGGGACTGGGAATGGGAGTGGGAATGGGAGTGGGAATGGGAATGGCAATGGGAGTCGGGATGGTAATGGGAGTGGCAGTGGGAATGGCAATGGGAATGGGAGGTTGAATGGGAATGGGAGTGGCAGTGGGAGTGGGAATGGGAGTGGGAATGGGAATGGGTATGGGAGTGGGAATGGGAATGGGAGGATGCGGTGGTAAGGGTGGCACCGGGCAGGTCCTGTCACTCCGCTCAGCTTCCCCAGCAGGGGCAGCGCGGGGGCAGGCACTGATCTCTTCTCTCTGCGGACCACTGGCAGGACCCGTGGGAATGGCTGAGCTTGTGTCAGGGGAGGTCTAGGCTGGATATCAGGCAAAGGTTTTTAACCCATGGGGTAGCTGGGCATTTGAACAGGCTCCCCCGGAAAGCAGCCACAACACTAAGCTTGACAGAGTTCAAGATGTGTTTGGACAACACTCTCAGGCACATGGTGTGACTCTTGGTAATTAATGGTCCTGTGCAGGGCCAGGAGCTGGACTTGACGGTCCTGATGGGTCCCTTCCAACTCGGAATATTCTATGATTCTGTAGTAATCCCTGTGGCTCGCAGCCAGCTGGTTCCCAGCCAGAGTCCACAGCGTTGCCTGGCTGCTGCAGAGGCAGCACTTATCCCAGGCTTCCTGCATGGCATGGGCACGTAGGAGGCACCCACAGAGCTGCTTGGCTGTACTGAGCACATGGACAGCGAGTGCACGCAGTGCTCTGCTGGCAGAAGCAGGGAGGATACTCTGTAAGCCAGCTGCGGGTCATCACGGATCCTGGACAGCCACTGGGAATCACAGGCACAGCTTAGGTACTTGTGTGCACCTACTGCAGTGCTGGGGAATCTCCAGAAAGCAGGGGGATGATACCTCTGTCACCATCTCTGGGGAATGCTGGTTCCCTTCAGCTACCAGCAGCCCCACTGGATTACAGGGAAGAGAGCACACTGACTCATCCCAGCTCCAGCCCAGGGCACGCTTCCTCAGTGGTGCTTCTGGTGACTCTTGCATCCGGCCCACCACGTACAGGAGCCAGCCTGGACCCGTGCCAGAGGACTGGAAATAGCAGGCTGCAAGAAGTGGTTGAGAAATTGAGCTCCTGTATTGTGGCAGGAGCCATGTCCTTGGATTTTGGAGTCTGACAGAGGAAAATGACCCAGTAGCATGCTTCACGTGTGGAATGCATAGAGGACTTGGCAATACTTCCTGCTACAGCAGGTCTCAAAACTGCTTGTTATTGAGAAAGAAGACCTCTCACGGGAGGCCCGTGCCTGTGTGCATGCAGAACGCTCTTCAGAATTCCCTTCTGTGTACACAGTAATTGCATTCTGCAGAGGCTGAAACCAAAATGTCCACAAAAGGGGAACTGTCGACAGCACAATGGTGCAGGATCATGAGGTGGACAAAAGTCCTATGGGCAGGGCCAAACCTCTCGGAGGGAGGTTGTTCCTAAGTGAGCTGCTGAAACTGCCTCCTGTCACCAGCTCAGACCTCAACTGTGAGTGCTGAAGTTCACACAAAGCCCTTGGTGGTGCTGCCTCAACCTCTCTGATGCTGCTTCTGCAAACCTGAATCATCCTTCAGAGACCTCCAGTCTGGAAAGCCTTTCCTGTCAGGTGTGTTTTCCTTTTTCTCTGAGGCGCTCTTGGTGTTTGATTGGAGTGTGGAGTTGACCTCAAGTGTCAGGATGCAAAGGGAGGTAAATATCTTCTAGGGCAGAAATGTAAACATCTCTTTCGGTTTTCTTGTTTTTTTCTTTCTTTCTTTCTTCTTTTCCCCAGATCTGGAATAAAATAAATTCCTGGCTCCTGGATACTAGTGATCCTCCCACTCCTGCAATGTCCCAGAGATGGTAGGGCTCTCTCAGTTTTTCCAAAGTATAAGTCAGGCATTGCTGCCTTCAAACACAGAAGGGAAAGGAACAGGAAAGAGTCTGGAACAAACACGGCTCTGCAGATCCTTTTTCTGTCCCTAATGCTGCTCCTCTGCAACTGCAACCCAAGGGCTGAGTTTGTGAGGCTGGGGGCTGAGGCTGTGGCTCTCTCCCTGGGTATTTCTGCAGTGTTACAGGCAGTCCTTACACCTGATGGACGCGTTACCAAAGGCTGCATTTCTGGGGCCACTGCCAGTTCATCAAACCTCGAGGTTTGCTGAAACCACCATGAGCAAACCTTGTTCGCAGAGAGTCGCGGTGGCGAACGCTGCGTGAAACCCTGGAAGCAGGAATTAGAACAGCAGCCTTTCTGTGGAATGAGGACAAGGCCACGGTTGTGAGGAATGCAGGATCTGCTGCTGCAGTGCCCGGGGTGCTCCGAGGGGATGGCCATTTGCTGGGTCAGAACAGCGAGCGGCACGGGGGTGTGGGCGAGAAGCAAGGCTCCCATCTTGCTCCTCTCCATCCAGTCCGCTTTTCTTGTAACAAAACCCATTACGTCTCTCCATTTCCTCTCTTTATCCCCTCCGAGCTGCCCAGGTTGTGCCGCGGCGGCGGGGAGCGGGGGCAGGGCGGGGAGCAGCGCTCGGCGGGCGGCGCTGAGCGAAGGGCAGCACGGAAGGCGATGGACGGCGCCGCTGCCCCGGCCCCGCCTCGCCGCCGCCTGCCCGCCGCCCCCCCGGCGCCCTCACGGGTTTTTCCCGGCCCCGGGAAAGCCAACTGAGCATCGCCTGGCGAAGGCAAATAAAGGCAGGGTGATAAACCCTGCCTTGCTACCTGCTGCCGGCACGCACCCAGCGCTGCGGCCGGGAAGGCACGAACAGCTTCCTAACGTGCCCGAACGCTGCTGGGGCCCCGTGGACGCCTGGAAGACAAAGAAATCCTCGTTACCAGAAGTCAGAGCTACCCACAGCCATTTCCTCATTGGTTCCCTTCATCTGTGCCTCTTACGTAATCCTCACCCAACAACTAACTCTGACCTCAGATGAAGGGCACCCTGAGTGAAGGACAGCTCTGATTTGATCCTCAAATGGGAAAATTCATATTTGGGATGCTACAGCCAGCTTGTGGTGGCTGCAGCTTGCGTTGCGTGGCAGCGATTACTTTCAGAATATTTTGCTCGTGTTAAGAGTGTGTCTGTCACACTGTGAGTGAGAACCACGACCTCCCATCTGTGCTGCGTTAGCAAAGAGAGGCTCACAAAAAAATCACGATTGAAAACATCCCTCCTCTTTCCAGTCTTCTGACAGGCTGTGTCACCCCTTGTCATTCCCTTCTATTCCTCTTGCTTCTTCTCCTTGTTTTACCTACCCTGCTTCCCAGCCCTCCTGCAGGGCTTATTTAAATATGCTGCCTCTCAGGAAGCCATTTCCCAATGCAAAGTTGGCCGGTGGTTGAATTCTTGGGTATTTCCTCTTAACTTCACTATATGGCATAGTGGAAGAAGAACAAAGCGGATTATCTGCTGGGATTTTTAGCGGACACAGTACAGAAAGATGAACAGCGTGGGTTAAATACATAAATGCATTCAAGCACGTTCCCCCTGCACACTGAGATTTTGGTACTTTTGCTGTACGTGAAAGGACAGATATTCTGGATTTATGTAAATCTAAGAAAATTTAATGCAAATACACATCCTTCTGCTCTTTTGCTATTCAGCAAACAGTTTGGAACCACTTAGGAGTTAGCTCAGTAAATATAATTCTTAAAATACCCAGTTTTTGTGTTTTGCTTTTGCTCAGGAAATGGCTCACAGTTAGTTGGTTCAGCCTTCAAAATAAACACAAAAGTCACCATCCCCTCTGCCCCCATCAGAACACAGTGGCATGACTAGCAAGGTAAAAGACCAAAATGCATAAATAATTGCTTCTAGGTGCATTCACCCTGCATTTGCTGGGAGCAGAAAAATAGATACCACGCATGAAAGCCCAACCACGTGCTCACGTATGATGGCACGCGTCTGCAAGCTCAATGCACACCTCAGTAGAAAAGTACCATACTTTCCACACTCACAAAAGTAAAAGAATGTAACAGAGGGAAAATATCCCCTCTGTACACAAACAGGTATGTACTGCACCTAAACACATGCGCACACCCACATAAACACCAAGCACAAACAGGGTACAGCACCAAAATTGTGACATTGTACGGAGAAAATTACATTCCCATTGTTGTCTGGGCTGCAGGCAGACACGGAGAGTGTCTGTTCCACACAATGATCTGTCATGTAACTTCTGCACCTCCCTCATTTTGTCTAAGGACATAAGTCTCCAAAAAGGATGGAATATATTCTGCTGAGCTGGCAAAGCAACTACAGACAAAGACTACAGAACGCACTGAGCAGGGACTGACATCTGCAGAGCGCACAATGAGTGTACTTGCGTTTGCAGCAGAGGGGAAGGCACAGATGGGAGAGAGGAGCAGAGAAAAGCTGCAGATCGATCTGGCAGGCGAAATGCAGAGTGGCACAGATCAGGTGGAGGAGCAGAAGTCACAGGGAAGAAGGTGAGACAGTCAATGGATACCCTCAGGGCTTGAGGGAAGCAGCTGCACACTAGAAGCCCAGCGAATCTCACCATTGGGACCCAAAGGGCAACAAGAGTCAGAATGCAGAAACAGGCAGGTGACAAGGAATGAAGAAGAATTTCATGTTGGATTTCAGGGGAAAAGCATAGCTGATACAATAATGCAGGGCAAAATGGGACGTGAAAATCAAAGGAGGGGATGTGAAATGAATTTTGTATGTAAGATACAGGATGTCACAAAGAGAAGCCGGGGAGAGGGCCATGGGAAGAGTGCTGCCAAGAACACAGGTAGGAGACAAATGCCAAGAAGCTGCAGATGAGGGAAAAATTGCAAAGGGGATGGGGTGGGGAGCATGGAAGTGACAATAGGAGGTTGCACACAGCAGGTGCTGGGGAAGAAAGGAGAGCTTGCTGCTGCCATGCCAGTTTGTAGTACTGACCCAACAGCTCCATCCCACAGGTAGCTGGAAACAAACTCCCCTTGCACAAACAGGTGTTTGTCAATTTGCATCTGTGGGTGCGCAGTCTGTGACAACATGGAGCTTTGGGCACGGGAACATCTCTGAACATAATCCTTTGCTTTCTCCCCTCTAGGATGTTGTGTCAAGGCCTGTTTGTGCATTATGTGAAGATGTCTTTGCCAAGGGATATGTGTCAATGTAATTATGTGTTTTCAGTGGTAGAGTGTGTAAAGGAAAAGGATCCTGGAAAATAAATTCTGGATTGGTGAGGAGAACAGCAGAGCAATGAGCCACGCACCTTCTGACAAGCAGAAGCAGAGAGGAACAACATCTGGCCACTATATAGATTATTTTGGTTCCTATTTTAGGTGTATATCTAGAAATTAAGATTTTCTTCTTGTGAAATGGAAGGATGAAAGAGGAGTACTTGTACCAAACCAGGGCTGGAATGCTGATAGCAGCTAGACCTGAGAAATTGGCCAGATCGGTTTTGTGAAACAGTAGGGGGGAAAAAAATTAGTGCATGCATTTTCATAATTTGGTTTATTTTGGTACTAGTCTAGATGTGTGCGTCTGAGTTACAGGACTGTTTTTTGGGGCAGGCACTCTGCACTGTGTATAGCTGCGAAGAACATCAGTCAGTCAGATCATGAGAGAAGCAGCTGTAGCTGTGGAGGAGACGAGACAACAAGCTGGGTAGCTTCTACCTCCCTGTCACACAGATTATAATTTATCCAGTATCTTTCCTACAGGACATACATACTCAGGGCCCTATGTTCCACAAATACAAATGGCTTTTGCTGTTAAATGCTCGAACTGAGACACATTCAATTAAACTCAAGAGCACCAGCTCTAAATCCTGGCTTTGCACAGAGGCTGAGTTTGTATCTGAAGGACAAGAAGGGCTTGCGTACCTCAATACATTTTCCAACCAGATGGATTAATAACCTTGCCTTGTACCTGTGAGAATGACTGCGTACACGTGTACCTCTGTATGTCCTCACGTGCACGCCTAGTTTTGTATGTATGTAGGCCCGCAAATGTGTGCGGATTTATTTTTTCTTTTGAATGAGCCTGTGACTAAGAGCAAGACAATATAAACCTTGTGGGAAAGGTGAAAGGAATTTAGTCATCCCAGTCTGCACAACCTGGTAACCAAAGGGCTGAAGAGCAGCTACAGGAACATCTGTTTTATTAGCAACAAATCCCTGCAGTTGCAAGTCACCACCTGCGGTTCTGCAGGAAGGACCTTTGGCTAAAGGGAGACCCGGAGCTGGGCGATGATCCTTCCCAGCCCGGAAGGAGGCACTGGCAGAATGTCTGCCACAGTCCAGGGCCGAGGCAGGCGGGTGGGCGGGCGGCAGGGATCGGTGTCGCACACCGTGCACCGCCCGGCCGGTGGCCGGGACGGGGGTCCCGGGTGGATGCGGGTCCCGGGTGGATGTGTGTCCCGGGCGGGTGGGAGCCGAGCCCGGCGGGACAACACCCGCGCCCTCGCGCGCCGTCCCGCCGCCCCACGTGCCAGCGCCCCTCCCGCCTCGCACTGCACCAAAGCGCCCCGCGCCCCCGCCGGCCGCCGCCAGCCAATGGGAAACCTGTTGCCAGGCAGAGAGCTCATTTGAATGGCCCAATCAGGCGGCCCAGCCCCAGCCCCTCCTTATATGGGGCCCGGGGTATGCGAGCGCTAATCCGCTCCCCCGCCGCCTGCCCCGCCCACTCCCTCCGCGAAGCGCCGCCCACCCGCTGCCCGAGGCCCCGCCCGCCTCTCCGCCGCGCGCGCAGAGCGCGGGAAAAGCGGCCAGCGCCGGGCGGGCAGGCGGGGGGAGAAGAAGGGGAGGGGCGGGAGGAGCCCCGCCGCTGGGAGCGCTTCCAGCGGGAGGAAGGGCGGGCAGCTGGAGTGGAAAATTCCAGGCAGGAGGCCGCGTGTCGCCAGCGCTGCCCTCCCACACGGCCCCGCAGCGCCGCTTCTCGCCTCCCCCGGATTCCTCCTGGAGAGCCAGTCAGCTTGTACGGGCGGCTCCCAGGGCGTGCTGCGGCCGGAGGGCTCGGCTCCCCTCGCCGGACACTTCCCGTCGGAGCCGCGGCACCTCGGCGCGGAGCGGGGCTTTCGGCTGGCCTCGACGGGGCCGTGCGGCGTCTTGCGGGGACCCGCGGTGCGCCCCCGCTGCCGGGCGGCCGCGGCTGAGCGCACATTGTTCTAGCAGCCCGTCCCTCTCCCCTCCCTCCTCCGCCTCCCGTCCCTCTCTCCTCCCTCCCCAGGTCCCTCCTTCCTCGTCACCGGCGCTGTATAAATCCCCTGCCCCGGCGGATCCCCCCACCGCGGGAGACCCTGGTACTTTGGCCCCCGGGGCAGGATCTTGCCGCCGCTTGCGGACCGCTGGGACTTTGCGCTTCCGCCGCTGACCCTTTCTCGTCCTCGCCCTCCCTCGCACCGCTTCCCACCGGCCTCTTCCCTTCGCAACCCGGGGGGCCAGGATGTCGGAAAAACGCGTTGAGGAGGCACCGGCGGAGCTGAGCGCTAAGGTGAGACACCTCCCTCCCCCCCACCACCTCGGAACCGGCCGCGCTCCCGGTGTGGGGGGGGGAACGGGGGGGCGCTCCGTGAGGTGCCCCGGCGGCGGGGGGCGCGCGCGCGCGCCGCCCGGCCAATGGGGGGCGGGGGCGGGGCGGGGGGCGCGAGGGCCCTCGCGCCCCCCGCCCCGCCCCCGCCCCCCCATTGGCCGGGCGGCGCGAGCGCGCGGTGGGTTCGGCTCCGCTCGGCTCCGATCGGAGCCGGGGGGGGGCGGGGGGGGGGGGTGTGAGGGGGGGCGGGAGCGGCGTCACGGCGGAGCAGGGGGGGAAAGTTGTGTGGACACAAAGCGCGGGCCCTGGGATGGCGGGGGAAGGAGGAGAGAGAGAGGTCCGGAAACGCCTCGATCCTACGGACAAGGTCGCCCTCTTTTTTTTTTTTTTTTTTTTTTTTGTAAATAAATCGTTAAAGCTCTTCCGTGCCGCTTCTGGTTTCCACACGCGTGTGAGGGCTAAAAGTAGCTGTGACGCGCGTTCGCTGCTGTTTTCCTTTGTCGGGCGGGCGGATTTAACGCCTAATATGTCTTCTCGCCCGCTATTCCGCCTCTCCTCCGAGCCGTCTTTGTTTAGGCATCCCCATCTTTTATTGCCGCTGACCGCCGGAATGTTGTTGGTTTTCTCCCCCCCCCTCCCCCTGCACCTCATTTCATATATAGGAAAGGAAAGAAAAGAAGGAAAAAGTCGAAGAGAAAGCCATCCACAAAGAAAAGAAGAAGGAGATAGTAGAGGTGAGGCTCTTCTGAGGGACAGATTTGGCGACGTCGGGGAGGTTTTTGTGCTCGCTGTGGGTAGCAAATATGAAGGGAATATGGGAGATAAAGAAAGGGAGCGCCAGCCTAGAGGTAGAGTAAGCTCTTGGATAATTGTGGAGAATGAGCCTTGAAAGACTTAGTGTAGTCAGCACAGCCCATCAGGGAGAAAAAAGGTCAAAGAAGGGAATGGAGCCAGGAACAAGTGGGAGAATGTGGCGCGGGAGATGTGGTCCTGCACCCACTGGGGTATCCTGAGGTGCACAAGGAGCATGTGTTGGAGAAGCTGGGGGCGGGGGGGGGAAACTGTGAGGAAACACGCACAGATTGATGGAGGTCGGGGAGGGGATCTGGAAACAGATGTACCATAAGCCTCAGCTGTCATTAGCCTGTAATCAGAGATGCTTTGG